CGCAATTTTCCGTCACTTTTGTGAGCTCATCTTAGGGGTTTTTGTGTCTACCACCTACAGTTTCTTTTGGCATTAAAGCACAGTACGCACATCCCTCGTTGTCTTACCCATTTTGCAGGTGGTCCAGTTGTCGTATTTGCGACGGCTCCAGCGGCTTTGGTCTGTCAATGGAGTATGCAGCATCCACTTCCCGCCGACAATCCTCAAGAAAACCAACACTAAGGCGTCTCAAAATTAGAAGTTTAGCAAACAGCTCAAAGCACTTGGATGTTGAGGCTCTGATAGTCTGTGGGCTAGTCCATCCGGAAAGACAGTCCTTCACAATAGTCCCTATTGTCCGTCTAAGTAACAACTCGCAGGTCTTTTTTCGCATTTCTGCATCTAAAATAGCGATTGCCATAACACAACATTCTTATCCCGCATTCGCATCACATAAAGAAAAATCCACCGATGTTAAGATCGTTATTAGTCATTAGCTTAAATAAAAGGCAAGTTTTTTCCAAGAAAATGATTTATGATTATGGAGCAATTGACTAGCCATGAGTGGTTTTATACTCGTTTCTTTGCATCGGATGTGTCAAGAAGGCGTGCGGATTTATGCATAAATGCTGCAAGCACCTAGTACGTGGTTGAGAGATTACCTGTTGCATCATCTTCGAGATCAATTAAGTTGGCCGAAATCCACAGCTGGAACACACCGGCGACACGATCAATGGCGGAGGTTTTAATCTGCTCTAACAAATCCATTACACTAAGGATGACTCGATTGCAGGGATCCTTCAGATGATTAGGAGTGGAAGAGGAGAAGCGCTGCAGGAGCGTTTCAAGGCAACCGCAGTGACTATGTCCTCTGGCCAGGAGAAGTGAGAGGACGGAATTGGTGCTCCGATTGATGTGGTGTAGATGCTCCACCGGTACATGGCCTATTAGACAGCGTACCGGACCGCAAAGTCCCTCCGCAGCTAATAATATCAGTGGCGAATTGCCAGATATCGGATCCTTTTCGAAAGAAATAACTCTTGGGTGAGACTATGGCCTTACAGTCCACAATGCTCTTCTTAGCACTACTTATTACTCTTTTGTGATTACGTGCCATTTGTTGGTGATTTATTCGTTGCCGTTATACTTCCCAAATAGATGCATTGATAATGGAAGAAGCTCCTTTATCCCGGGGCTACTTCGACCCCTTTTACTCTTCAGGCATAAATAAACTATGGTGCCGCTTCTGCTAAATTGACGAAATCACTGTTGGTCGAATGTTTTGTTAATGTTTTCAACAAAAATCTAATTGATACTTGACAAACATTGCGAAGATACCTTTACGAACCCGCAAACCCATCGTCAACAGTTGTTATATACTAGTTGTCAAATTGACTTAAGTTCTATCGCAAGGCACACCGTCCTTAACCAAAATTAATGACTTAAGCATACACAACACTTTGAATGAAATTGAAGTGAATAAAACAACCAGCAGAGAAAAAATGAACAGCGCATCTTAAATGCCATGGTTTTGTGACGAGTCACATTGACCGCAACATCCATCTATGAGGGTGAAGGTATGCGGCTTTCAAACATGCGAACTATCATCCATGATACGTTCTCAATGCAACGCATAACTTAACTGAACACACAATCGACGCAGACGCGGGTAGGCTAATCCTTCAAATGATTCGTGTAGCTGCGTCCATGTCATTTTGGACATCCAAAGAAACTTTTGCCCCTACGGAACTCTGCAAAGATTAGTGTTTCATTCGAAATAAGCTTTAAACTAAATAGCGATTACTATCATCAATTTTAAATCCATAGAAGGACTCATCAAACCAACCTATTGTAAGCGTAAATCTAGGCATTTCTGTTTCTGAGCTTTTCTCCAGTGGATACTACGTCCAACCGTTACAACTTCAAAGTTGGCTGCTCATTACATTTGCATACACGCAGATTAACCTGCTCTCCAAGCCGTACATTCCGTCGGGCCACAGAAAAGAATCTATTTCGTCCATCCTTAAATAAAGCCATAGTAACAAAAGTAATCAAAATGCTGACTTGAGCTTAAGTTTTAGGATAAGGGCTCGGAAACATTTGAAACCTATTAGTCAGTCAATAAGTGGTTGTGAAGCCACTAATAGCTTTTGTCAGTAGAAGAGAACGAAAATAAACTTTACGGTAACGCACCACACAATCCAGCTTGACTCCACAAGAAAGAAGGATTTTGATTCCCAGACCAAAGTTGCGTGCTACTAGACCGCAAACAACATGTCCGGACAATTGTGAAAAATCGAACCCACTTTCCTGAAGTTGCAGGACGGTATTAAGGGAATAGTTGGAGGACTGAATAGCCTGAACGGCTCTTGCGAGTTTTGCCTCCATGTCGCCCTCTGTCCTCCTCCTTCAGAAAATAGCGAACGTGCCTTCTGAAGAAGTGTTAGCCAATCACGTGCTGGCAGTAATTGGATTGGCTAACGCAATTATTCTGTGTGCTGAGGGTATGAATGTGAATCTTAGGTACGAGAAACTGACCAATGGCTTTTAAGGGATTATCAAACGGTCTTTATTTGTGGAATTTGCTTTGCTTAAAATATTTTATTGTTTAAATCACAATGCTAGAAGGTAAAATTAAGGAAGACGCCCCTTATTTAAATAGGTGGGTTAATTTAAGTCTTGGCTAAAGGTTGTGAGCGACAATGGGAATGATTTAGAGGAAATGTATACGAAACCAAGGTTAAGAACGACAATATTTTGCCTAAATTATTAGCCTAAGGAGTAAACCCGATTAGGCTGCCACATGTAGTACGTGTAGAGGATGTCTTTTCCTGTTTGCTTAAGCATTCTAGCTTACTTCGCTACCCCCACTGGCCTTACATTTCTGCTTACCATTGTGATGTTAGAGGTTTTGTTTACCAGTTTTCTGTTAGGTAACTTGTTCTTGTTAAATTTTCACCCAACATGTTCGGGAAACTTGAACGCTGCATTGGTTAAGCTTAAAAAAATTATCAGGTGCATGAAGTTTTGGATCTTTGACGTATGTACGAGCCAAATGCAGTAACGTGGAAGGGATTTAGAGCCCAAAAGTCCAGACTAAGGCAGTTTAAATACGTGCACTTGTTAAGCTTTAGCAGTATTCCGTTAAGTCAAGGATGAATCCAGTCAGATAGTAGAAGAACCATGCGTTATTGCAAACACAAACTTTGCATGACCTCATGACTTGGTCTTCTATTCTCCTTGATAAACGGTTTCGATTGCATTAGTGCACCACCATTTGTCGGTACATAACTAACCAAGTGACTTTTAGTGCATATTTTTGCATTCGAATGTGAACAAACACAAAACTATTCACCTAAGTAGTCGAAAAATTGGCATCTGCTGCAGCAGAGTTAAAAGTTTCGTTTGCCTAAGTAGGCGCAGCAAACAGTCGATGTGCTAAACGTTTGGCATCCAGTATTATGTTTGTCAGGTGACCAAGGCCAGTTGTCGTCGAGGTGCCAAGGAAGTAGGCCTCTGACAAATATCCATGGTCTCATTTGGCAAATCAACCAAGCTTTTAACCCCACACAAACTCGTTTAAATGAGTCGTGGGGCTGCCAAATTAAAGCTTATGAAAACCCTCTCCACACAATCGTAGCCATTTGATGATGTGAAGTGACTTCTTGCTGAACTGGCTCTTTGAGGCTCCACAACAGAACGATTTTACTGCTCAGGGCCGGAAACTTCGGTAAGATACCTAAAAACATGTCAACAAGATGGACATTCGAATATTGTCATAAGAATTACTACTGCTAGCGCTATTTTGACTAGAGAATAAAAGTTGACGTTAAAGAACAAATCATTTCACAAGGCTTCGAATTTTGACTAAATCGATCTTCGCACAGTCTTTTAACTGCATCGACGCCGTGCATTCATTTTGATGTGTTAAAGTTGATAAAAAGGGGTCTGGTCGAATCACCGTTGCTAGACAGTAGTTGGCCGACTAGACCACCAACCCGATGAACACAAATTTAAGTGGAAATAATCAAAATCTTCCCAAAGCAAACGCCAGTCAGTACTCAAATCATGTGCTCATGAGATTAGCCTTAATCGTCCAAGTACAGGACCTAGGTAGCCCTTGTACAAGCCGTCCGGAGTCAGAGCATTCCGGAACCACGGCTGGCAACTGGGTACCATCGCGACCACAAATGTCACTGATAAATGTGAGGTCGCCCTTAAAACTGTGCCGCATGACATCTGCGAACAAGAGCTAAGCACATTCGTTTGCAATGCTTCACTCAACACAACAATGATATGGTTGTGACTGGAAGCAATTTTTTTCTCGTGTCTCGGCTAGCGGGGCGTGACGCATAGACTGACCTCGGCTACAACGTGTGGCGATGGGACGCGCGCCCACTTTCCTCCCCCTAGAATACTTTTCGCCGTTGAATGGTAGCAAAGGAGCAGAACTACTGCATCCTTAAAAAGTACTATAAATAGACAATTTCTATTCAACTTTGTTCCTGATACAGTTTCACTCATGAAACAACCTTGTCCACCACCACTGTAATACATTTTTAAGCTGTATTTTTAGGTATTGTTTAAGAACAAGGGTTAAAATAATAATGCGCTGTCTCCATCTCCTTTTCCAGTTCGATTGTATGCAAATGCATAGCTCCTTAAGCTTACAAATGAAGTTTTTTTTTATAAGAAAAGTACTCTCACTCCAGTGTAGGCTATTTTTTCGTTCCTAATAGCTTTGATCCCCCTTTGAATTATAGGCATTAAAGGATGTTATATCCGTAGCGTGATAAGCGCGCAAGTATGCACGTCGTTTCTGACTCCTATTGCCATTTGGCAGCAGTTTCGTGACCCTTTTTGCAAAATCACTTACGCGTCTAAGGAAAAACTGCCTTCCTTAGAAGAGTGAATATGTTTAGGTTCTTAAACAAATCTGAAACTTAATGTTTCTTTTCAGTTCCAACTACTACTGGTCCTCATAGTTCTTACTGCGATGTTAATCTACCACCGCCTTACCACTCTAGTTCGCTTCCAAAACCTACGGTCTCGGTCCCGGTTCCCGCCCCTGTGGTGGCCCTAGGACGTAGGCAAGACGATTTCGTCAAAATAATGGCCGAGTGGGATGTTACAGACATCAACTCATCGCACACGCTTTGAATAATGACTATGAATATCCTTTGCCTATGAGATAAATACATGGTAAAGTAAAGCAGACAGCAAAACTTTCAAACATTTCAAGGTGTCTTCAGTCCATCTTGGGACTTACTAATCAACCATTTTCGGCGTTGCTTCACCCAAAAGAAAAGAATGGAGCAGCTCCAATCGACGATAAAATATTATGTCAAGTTTCAATGAATAAGCGCGAGTTCCCTTCTGTGCATTCTAAAAGTAGAAAGTAAAAGCTTCAGCAAACTTAAGGACATCCAAAGTAGTTCTGTACACTCAAGCAAAATCCAGAAGTACGTGATTCACAATGCAATGAATCCACTGAATTTATGCGCGGATCTTCGTGATTGGCTTTTACTGAAAACACCTTTTAGGACCCAATATGAAGGCTCCTTTTATGCAAAAAGATGTTTATACGTGAGAACATGACGCGTAGATCTAGCAGTCGTTAACATAAGGCAAAAGAAGTAAGGCAATTTATTAACACAAAAGAGATCTCTCCATTCGGAATGATGGAAAAGAAATTCTGCATACGGAGCAAGTTGTATTCCGTTAATTTCAACCACAATACACAATGCTCCTGTCCTTGTCATGGGCAATGGAACGCAACCGCTAGCATTATCCTCAACTCGAAATGTCGTGTGTGCAGAAAGCTCACTCGCTCAATTGCAACGAAGCCAACGTTTTTGAAGCAGGCTGAACTTCAATTGCCCTTGTCGTAAAACAAACACAGTTTGTTCTGGATCAAGGCATCACAAACTAACACCCTCTTGAACTCATCGTCTCGGATTTTCAAAGGCGACCTGCAGATTCATGATTTTAGTTTCAAAGAGCCTTATGAAACCGTTGATGAAACACTATATGCCGATTCTTGGGAAAGAGATATGATGTACCATTCGCCTACCCGAGTTATATAGTTATGCAGTAAAACCCTCTCACTTTACCTTTAATCAGTTTTAGGAACTCAATCGAAACCATTACATCACCGGACGGTTTGGAGCACTCGTCTTCTTTGAAAATTGCGCCAAAGCCAATGCTGCCGCTGAATGGCTAGTTGAAATGAGATAATAAAGTTCACGCATACTGCAACTATTTCCAAAGCAACTGACCATTTCCTACAAAAGTAGTTGCAGCGTCCCAAACCTTACCATAAAGTGAAGGAAGGCAGTAAATGAGGCCGTGTATATGTATTCCAAAGCGAATAGAGCAAAGGTACCTGAGCATGGCCCGAAGGTCAGCCCACGAATACAATGACAAGAAAAACCATACAGTGACCAGCAAACGTCAAGTAGTTACAATAAGAACGTATCACAATAGAAATAAAATATTCCTGACCAATAAACGGTGCAGCCTTTGTAGCGTCTCAAGACTTGCCTTAGGATGAAAGTAGGCAATAAGTGAGGCCAGGTACATGTATTCCGAAGGGGACAGAGCAAGTGTACCTAAGCATGGCCCGAAGGCCAGCCCACGCCAAAAGCCACGCGGTCACATAAACATAGCATTACACTGCTTCTTTCCTCTTTGAACGGCGTCCTCGTCGCTCCCCGTGGTACACCTCCCGCACCACCCTTCAGAACATATTCGGTACTACAACAAAGCACCCACGAGTCAACCGCGTCAGTCGACAGACAGCATTCGACTGAGCAACCGTACTTGACCTCCTCGACGCCTTCAACCGGATTCGAAGTTACGTTTGGTCTGACAACCAGATTCGGAGTCGCATACACCTACTGACCATCAATCGCTTCCAGACATAGACAGTGGAACCGATGTCACAAAAAAATAACGGGATGATTCACTGTCTCGTATATGAGGAGGGCCGTAGCGTCATTTCCGACACAGTAACACGGACACAAAACTTCTCCAGATGGTTCACGACGGTTTCACTTCAGTCGTAACTAACTTGTCTGTGGAACACGGTAATAAGGTGAAGCCAAACACAGATGCCAGTCTCATCCCTCTCATCGTGAGGGTTTGAGGGATTCTCCGTCACCGGGTAAATGCGCCTACTCTACACCATAGGTGCATGCAACAAAGGGTATTGGCTAGGATAGAGATCACCGAAAAAATGTCGGGTTCGCATTCCGCTGCCGCCGGTGTAGCGTCCCTGGACTTTCCATGGGGAAGAAGAAGGTGATAGGTTAGGCTGGATACAAATGTTCGAAGAGGACAGGGCAATCGGGCCTGAGCGTGACCCTAAAGCCAGCCCACAATTACAAGGGGCATTTGAATTCTAAAATGACCACCAACAGTCATGTGGTCACATAAACAAAGCATTAGCGCCTTGATCGCACAGTTTAAGGCCTGATCCCAAAGTCTGTTAATGGGTTGGCGTAAATCTTAGTTAAAATGTTTGATTTAGTGCTTAAAGTCAGTGATTAATCGGAATGATTAATGCAGATTGCAGGATGAAATCTGCAATGGATTAATAATATTGGATGAGATTTCCAACGAGCATTTAGTGCTGCCCTAAGAATTTAGTTTAGAAAAGAGCATCGTTAGCGTTATTATACTAAGAAGCGCTTTCAATTTTTTTAAGATAAATAGAAACGTTTATTTGTGTAGAGTTTGATATTACAAAAAGTTGGACATAATTAAATTGGGTTTGAATTTCTTCCCATTAGCTTGACGTTTGAATTTTTATTAAAGTAATTATAAGTCATGGCAGAATGGAAGCGAATTTATCACTAGGGTCAAACAAATCTTCAAAGAATAATTTTGTCATGTCAAAGACCTAAAATTTGACTTAACCTTAAATAATACATGCTAGCAAATAATATTTTGTTTAAGGAAATCGTATAGTTAACTGCTTTGCAAATGTATTTTAAAACCAGGAGGCGGAAGGCCCCACTCGGGTACTACGCTTGAGGAGCATTCGGATGATTTGGATGTGAACTCAGATTCAAAGGTAAATGCCTTCCGACACAATGCCATTCTTAGCATCCTCTTAATCAGATAAAAAGTTCTAAATTGATCTTGCCCATTCAGCCTGATTTCACCGCAGTGAAGAGGTGAATAAGGGACAAACCTTTGCATCAGCAGAGGTCCGTATGTTGTAATTGTGATGCTTTGTTTTTGTGACCATGTGCATGCTTTGCGGTTATTTCGGCATTCATCTGACTCCTGTCTGTAATACATACTAGTTTGTTTAAGTGGACTTTTATAATTGAGGAGCGAGAACCAAGTAGGAAGGCGAATCCCGTGTGTGAAGCCGGCCAGGAATCTCCATCCAGTTGATGTCTCCTTCTTGCAATATCTACATCCCATTCCCCATCCTTCCTAATACCAATGCCTAATGAATCACCCGCAACCGACTGCCTCTTGCAGACTGAGGTTCAGGAATCAGAGGGTAGACAGGCGGCTCTTATAGTCATCCACCTTCTTCTGTATTGCATTTATTTTTCGTAAATCAGTGCCTTATTTAATCTAGTGGGAAATCGCATAGATCCACACAGGGAACGGCGGAAAGCAAACCAAATGTACTAACGGCTCCTATCCCTATGTTCACCAATTATGACATCTACAATGCGAAGCAAGCTCATTTACTTCACTTGAGGAAATCGTTCAAATCTTTACAACAATTGGGTTGAGAATGGTGCATAGGTCTATCTCAACTCCGTCCCCGTGTTCCACAAATAAGTATTTAAGAGCTAAAGCAAAACCACCGTAAATCATTAGAATAAGTTTTGCATCAATAGCCTCTTTACTAAAATTCGCGTTTAGATGTTGGCGATAATGCCATTCCGGAATCCCAATCACAGTGGACTGTGTTTGATGTCGTCTTTCCCCAGGATATACACGACTCTGATTCATGTTTTCATACCAATCATAACCCCTGGGTTAGTTCAAGCTGCTAAAAAGGGCAAAAGCAATCCTCAATCGCTAATCCAAAATCGGGGCTGCGTATGTCTGGCGGTTTCTCTGACATTCGTCCTAAGCTTATGCGCGTGATCTAACCTTTGAGCTAAACCACGAAAAAATATCTTTTATCTTTTTTTAACTACGTGTTTAGTCCATTTCATAACTTCTTCCAGCTAATGTGAAGTCTGGAGCTCTATGGTAATTATCTCCTTTTCTGGTTAAATATTTAAAAGACTTGGTAAAAAAATGCTGTGTAATTTGAGCGTTTAAAATAAAACATTTAGTAAGCTAAAATTATAGGCGAACGCTTCCGAAGGGGTGCATTTTTGAATGAATGAAGTTACGATGAAATTGGTATAAAACTTCAAATAGGTGATTCTGTTAAAACAACACTTAAAAATACCCTTAGATTTTTGTAAAACATAAAGTAAGCCAGTATAGTTTTACTGCGAATGACATATAGGGCTGAAATTTTAATTATTGTTCGCATAGCCTTTTTTTGCTTTGCACTTTCCTACCGGGATAATCAAAAACCGTGTGTTGTGAGAATGGTCTGGTGTCCCGCTACTTTATCGTAGTGCGGCGAAGTCCACTTTAGTTTATATGCATATTTCATGTTGGAATTGAATTGTTTGGGTGTGGAATGAGTTTGCAATGCTTTAATCCTAGTCCTTACTTGCTGTATTCGTGTTACTTCATGCTTTCAATGATGGTTTAATTGCACAGATTTATATTGCGAAAAGTAAATGAATTTCCATCTACAAGGTTTTTTAAGCAAATTTTTTATCTGCAAAATCCGCTGCGGTGCGTTGGCAGTGGGGAGTAGGTTCTTTGTTGTAAAGTGAAGCAGCTCTCTGGCAAGTGGTGTCTTTTGAAAGTGCATTGATCACTTTTGTAGGAATGGAGGGTGATTTCGTAAGCAACTCAAAATCAGTTACAACACGCAATATTACTCTTGAATCTCTGCTGGATGCACAGTTTCCCAAGGACGCTTCTGAAGGCGATGTTAACAAACGGAAACTTTCCGATTCGGGAAATTTTATAGTTCATCCTGTGCCGCCAAATAAACGACCACGAGGCCAAACCTATCGGGCTAAAGATGCTTGCTTGGAACTGATAGCTATACTTCTTCAGCAGGATGTCAATGGATTCTTCCATTTTGCTCCAAAAATGGTACTTGTTTTGAATTCGCAGTCTATAAGATTTAAATTCTCAGCTCCTTGTATGGTTATTTCCCCCCGAAACTTTGGAAAATTAATTTTTGGGGTTATTTTTCCCCTGCAGAGGTCAAGGGTTTTCCCCAATTCAAGAAGGAAATTTAATGTTAACAAATTAGCCTATGGTTGATCTTTTTATGGTGGAGTTTCATATTCGCTTGCTTCCGAATTTTTACTGTTACTTTCTCTTTAAAGCCCTTAATCTTCTTCTGCAGGCGAAAAATTGCAAAAGTCCTACGTCACTTAGCTTGCGTGTGTTGGAACGCTTTGTTCACACTAACAGAATCAAGAATATTAACCATTTGCGTGAATACGTCGAGGAACTTTTCGCCGCATACCAACGTTCCGATTCGCTCACTTCTGCGTCTGCTCCATTAGAAGGGGGTGCAGCTGTCGTGGCTGAAGCTGCTCGCCTTTCTGTTCTTGCTAGACGATGGTTTGAGAGCATCGGGGAGGACTCTGATCTAATGCATGAGCCTCTCTATGGTCCCGTTGCTTCCAATGATGCCAACGAGGTGACAGCACTCGGCCTTCTCAATCCCGATAATCGAGGTCTTGTCAGTTCCACTGAACGAGTTCGTACTATCGGGGAAGAGGTTAGAGCTCCTTATTTCGTTGCATTATCTTAGTCATGCATAATAGGAAATGTTTGTGCCATCGCTCATGGCAGACACGTACCGTATCTGAGTCGTGTACCAATTCCCCAGCCGTTCGCATTGAAATAGATTCCGGTATGACTTATTTTTACTATGTTCTAGGTGGGCCAGTTATCTTTTGGAACTCATTTGTCGCAAAACGGTGGGTACCGTGAGGACCGTCGAAATCGGGTAATCCCCTACACATATCTTAACTACGGCCCGTATGCAAGTTTTGGACCAACGTTCGATAGTGGAGCGTCGAATTGCAGCCCAGAAGCAAATCAGCTCCTTCTCTCCACCTCTTGGCTTCCTGCACGCATGCTCTACTCACTGGAGGTGAGGGAGGACGTAGATACTTCGGAAAGTGGGGAGAAGGATTGCCCTTGGAGCCGTCTGCGGTGTGTTGCCGAAGCGGAGGACGACATGGAATTACAGACGGCATTGACGGACTGCGTGGCGGAGTGGAAGGAGGCACACGAAGCTAGTCGAATTTTAGAGGCCATCATTCCACCTGTAATATGTGGCGATCATCCCGATGGCGACTTTAAGCTTTATCTGGCCAACGCTATCACTCGTGATCTCCCTGAGGTGTGCGAGATAACAGATGTTGAATCATCTACTCCAGAGCCTCCCAAAACTGCTTCTAGTAAGTCATATTTAATCGGTGTCACTGAATCGCTTCTACTGTAGCTGATGTCTGATTGTCATCACCCTATGGTTTTCGTCTTTTAATAATGTACATCAATCCCAACTTTTTTTACACCTAGGATTTATTGGTGGGAAACGAATGTATCCTCCTTTGTTTCAAACAACAAAATCCAGCAGACTTGTTGTAAACAAAGTATACATGGATTTACTATTAAATACAGGAGGCAGATTACGAACTACCTTTGGGTGATCAGTAAATTCGAGACACCCAAGATGGCTGCGAATGCATTTATTTTTAGCATGGAGCCCCGAGTCAATATGATATGATGCTCTCGATTATCCCGTTTTTTTTTTTCAATAGGACAAGCACCATCGGAATCAGTACCAGAAAAGCCCGATGAGGCGAAGGTGGAGGAGGGTGGAGATGAGGCGAACGAGGGGTTATTAGAGGAGTCCTCGCGTCTGTTACGTGACCTCTACAACGCACAGCAACGCCGACTAGGCGATTTTTCCTCGGCTGCGCTTGCGGAGGAACGTAGTCTGCGGGCCTGCGGGCGCGAGGTGCGCACGGCTACGCAGCTGGCCAACAAGCTGGTTAACCTAGTGAGCCGCCTCACGCGTGGACCTGGGGATATACTCACCTCACGCGTGCCTGTTCGGCAGGCCTTAGGTATCGATCCTGAGGCACCTGTACTGACTCCCAGCGAGACCAGGGATCTTCTCCGATGAAAAACTCGCTATTTCCTCACGTTTTGTCCGCCTTTCCTTGCTTGTATATTTACCTTACTTCGAATCCATTCATTCACGTCGAAGGTGTTGCCCACGGTGTGGTCCCATAATTGGTCAGGGGGCGCGGTGGGGGAGAGACGGTGATGCGACATGATAGAGGTGTGAAGCGAATGCAAATTAAGAGGCGGAGTATATGCAAGGAATAGGGTGATTTGGTAAGGAATTACATTTAAAAAATCTAAATAAAACAGTATTTAGAAAAAATCAAACAAAAACCGTAAAAAAATTAAAAGTAAGTTAAAAATTGTTTAAGCTGATTGTATGAAAATCAGACCGTCGCCATATTGTCACCCTTGGATATTCGGGTAAGTCGGTTTGTTTACCTGATGTAATATCGACATCGCATTTATGAAAGTAAAATTGGTTTTCTTATACAAAGGAACCTATTTCGATGTGATTTACGAAGCAGTCTATACCTCATGCGATTCAGGTGTTGCAGGCGGGGGTTCGAACCTGAGATTGGAGGAAAGCTTACATGTTCGCAAAGACGGACGGTAGGAAGGACATAACGTAGACAAATAAGGGCAAAAGGAAAAGCGAAATGTTTCAAAAATCACCAGGAGATGCCCATGGAAAGCATCAGGATGCATCTTGTTACGCATAAGTAAAGCTACCAAGAATTGTGAATCCCAAGCGATTTCAAATATGGCAGTATTGTACATCCATATTTCTATCAACTACAATAATACAGAAATCACTATTGTTTTATACAATGTATACAGTAGACTATTTTTCAGATCAAACTTGTCGTCAAAAAATTATAAAGACAAAAAGAAAAACAAAAAGCTAAATTTATTACTTCGAAGTCAAAAAGGACAAATAAGGTCACGCCATCAAATTCAGCTTATTACGAGTAACATTTGCCTGCATAAACTACACCAACTTGTGAAAAAGAAAATGCAAACATAGGGTAAGAAGGCGAGGAGACAACGCAATGTGCTGGTGCCTTGCTCGCAACACGGTGTGCAGGAGTGT